ATGTGACGGAGGGCGTGTAAGTGTAGCGCAGCTAATCGAAGGTTGCGCGTGGGCCGAATGACAAGACACCTATAAAAGAATATAAGGGAACACCGTCTTAGAGATTAGGAAACCGCGAAACGGGGAAAGCACAATATGCCAACAGCTACTGGAAACTGATCACCAAAAGCTTGGAAATTTTGTCTATTGCACTGCCTCGTTATTGTCTAAATCAGCACACTTTGTCCCACTGTGTATGACAAAACAATCGAAATTTCTGTGTTCCCTCCCCCCTCAGTTGACCACGCAACCAGTAGCGTGTTGGCTGTTTATTATCTCAGCAGGTGGTCACGTGTCAAGCGAAAACCTGAATAAAACATTATGATTGGGACAATATTGTAAGCGGGTGGTAGGGGACGGGAGTATACTGTGGTGATCATAGCTGATGATGCAAACCACGGAGCGACAAGCTACAGTTTCCAGACAACTATGATGAGTTAAGCTTCCCAGGTGGCGCCAGCAAAGCGCCTACGCTTTACAGCTTCTAGGCCACGAACCATAGACCGATTGTGCCGATCAATCAGAAACCATGCGGAATAGACAGAAGCTGTACCGACGCCAAGAATACGAACACGCAATAGGTAGATGCCTGGATGACCAATGAACGTGTTTTGCACATATTATTTGAACTCCAGGATTTCTTCCAATAAATGAACTGCTACTCCTGTGGCCTTTTTCTCGCTTCTCGGTTAAGTGGGATATCGTCGTGCAAGTTTCAGTGTGATTCCGTATTTACGCGGCATCCGTGATTTCTGATACGTGATTTGTAATTCGTAGTCGGTGCGTCCACTATTAAATATACACAATGTAAAATTTACCGGTGAGGAATTCCTTCATACATAGTGTAATGAGACCCGCTTCAGGTTTTATCAGAAACTATTCAATAATTCTCCCTTTTTATAACTTTATGTGACTAGTTGATGAATTATCGAAAACCGTAAGTGTTTCTTCCCACGGTCTTTATTTGCGTGCACGCACACACACTGTTGAATCCGTTTTACTCTCTAAACGGACTGTCCTAATCACAGTCCAAATTACATGTGACTTTTCCCAGCAATCCTTCATTATCGCTTGATTTGTGTAATCTCTTCCTTTTCTTTCTGGACCGGCTACGTCCGAGTTGACTCAATGGATCTATCAATCGGTCCGATTGTGTTCCCCTATAAGTGACCAGAATAACCTTCGTCACTTCGCTGCTCGCCCCACCACTCCATGTTTTCGTTACGCCCGTTGCCTGTTTGGCATCCCCCGGTCCACCAATCGATATACACATACGCATTTTTCCTGTCCCTCACGTGATTGGTCTTTTGATCCTGTATATTTAATTGACTGGTTGTCAGCCATTGCTCATTGTGCACGTATGCTTGCTACTGTTCTAACTGTTGACTTTGATTGAACTGCACGCCCCCACACTCGTTGAGTCCAAAACTTTGACAACCATTGAAAGCTCCTTTGGACACGACAGAACGCTGTTATACTTTGACCCTCTAGCGTTCGATTGCACCCTGACAATGTAAACATCCACTCCTTGATTTACTTCATGATCAGAGGTTTTTACCTGTTTTCTATGAATCAATTTTTCCTATAACAGCACCACATTTCAAGACAATCTCGTCCTCTGTTCACTTCATATTTTGCACGAAAATCGGTCATTAAACGGATTTCCAGTGTGTAATCCACATCACAGAATCTTCTACAGAGATTCTATACACTATTTATCTGTGGTGATCCAGGCCTAAGAGATGACGCCTATCCTGGAGCGGCGCCTCACAGTTTTTGAATACATGCGATCAATCAAATTTGAAAGGCAACGTCAATGACGCGCGTAATTGTCACTGCTTTTGACCACACACCATAGGCAGATCATGCCAGCCAATCCAAGACAATGCAGTCCAGAGAGAGGTAGAATGATGCAAGCAATACTGGAGTGCGATTGGTGGAAACCTGAATAACCAATGATCTTCTATTGTGCATATTATTTAACCGTTCTCATTTCTTCCTATAAATGGACTACCATTCCTGTGGCCTTTTCCTCGCGTCTCGGTTACGTGGGACATTACGTGCTAGTGCCATTGCGTTCCAATGCTTCCGTGATCCAATCCGTGATTTCTAGTCCTTGATTCGTATTTCGGGATTCGTGTTGCGTGGTTTGTATTCCGAGTACAATGCGTATTGCTACTACTACTACTGCTACGATCATTAAATTATCCCGGTCGATTTCTCGCAGTAGAACAACGGATACATCTTGGATTCCTTTGATTCCCAATGTTGAGGATTTCACTTGCCGATTGCGCATGCGGTCATAATTGCCGGAGCACGAATACATCGAAACGCCTGCCAAAGGTTTCGCAACTCACAATCAATATGAATTGCACCGTTGTCGCTTCCATAACAAGCACCCAGGTATGGATATTATCTGACCTCGTTATATTTCTAAAACCAACTTGTTACACGTTCGGAAGCTGATTTATTATCTTGAGTAACTGCTAGGAAGTAATCGTTCCGTACGCAATAGTTGATACACCCTTCAAGATGTGTACAAGTTTCACGATTAATGCAAACCCACTCCTCGGCAGTACACAGCAATGGTCTCACCTGACTCAACGGTTCCTTATATTATAAGAATGCTTACATTCCGATATCCTACCACGGACTGTCCCCATCAACCAAGAGTATTGTCAAAATGGTAGTTTATTTAAACTTATTTCAAAAACCAAACCTTAGTTTCTGTGATGCACTATAAGAATCAGAGCTTTCGTCTTTCAGCTGATGAAAATCAACTTGTCTTATGCAAGGAATCTGCGCTAATAATGGATTCTATCGCTTTCATAAACTAAGGTCTACCCGTCCAATCAATTCGAAACGACTATATTCTGATCACCGTCAATATGACTTTATATATTTCGTTTTCTCGGGGATTACTAATTCAGATTGTACGGCTTATGCTATATCAACAAAATTGGAAGCATAACCGAGGTGACCCTGCGCCTTCGGGATAACACTAATCAAGTGGATACGATTTTCAGTGTACGGAAAATAGATCAGAGGAAATGTGATGATTCTAGCCTACGGGATAATGCCAGCCACGAAGGGACACGTTATAGTTTCTGGACATCCGTGATGAGTCAATCCTCGTAGTTGACGCTAGCCAAGCGCCTACTAGTTAAAGTTTCTGGACAAGGAACCACAGGCCAATTGTGCCAACCAATCAGAAGTCGCGTGGTCCAGTCAGAAGTTGTATGACGTCATGAATTCAATCACACGATTGGTGGACACCTGTTAACCAATAAGATTCCTTTCTACATGCTATTAAGTCCAACTGATTTATTTCAATAAGCGAACTGCTACTTCTATGGCCTGTTTCTTGCGTTTCGGTTACGTGAGATACCAGCGTGCAAGTGCTAGTGCGATTCAGTGTTTGAATTGCGTCCGGGATTAGTAATTCAAGATCTGTGCTTACTTCAACTAATACCGGATAAGAGTCTTGACCAGTTAAAGCCATGCGGTTCAAACAGGAGCTCTGCTACGTAGAAAACCCAGGCAGTGATTGGTTAACCCCCGTTCAGTTAATTTCCTGGTACAGATTACCTAATCTCATTGATTTATTTCAGTGAACCGAACCGCGATTTCCGTGACTTTTCCCGGAGTCTCGTTGACATTAGACTTCGACATACCGCTACTAATGCGACTTGTAGTTCATGATTTGTGTCTACTCTGACTATTACAACGATGCCTCTCCCTTCTAACTGATAACCAGGAGACACCTATTTAGTCATGTTTCACTGAAGCATTTAGATAGGTTTGTCATGTGATTCAAATAGGGAAAGAATGAAAGCTCGTGAACAGCATACACTCTACCAACTGAGCTACGAGGACACAATTACCGTCCTAGTGGGATGGAATCCCACGGAAACGCTTGATATTATTAGTTGGCAGACTACCACTAAAGCGACTGTGATAAATACCAGTCGCTTTGTATCGCTTTATCCCCATGGACTCTGCAGATCTATATTTGTCAAACGTTAACGATATTCAAACGGCTTTCCACACTTCGATAACTTGACAAACCCCTTACCCAAATTTGTCACAATAACCTCATTTGCAACAAAGGGGAATTTTGATAGACAGCTCTTTGAAAGTAAGTCCATTGAAGATTCAATGTTATTACTGGATGTTTTGGGGATGGGTTAGATGCTGCAACAAACGTAATACGTAGTGCATGAGTAACTGGTAAATTTTTTTCTAGTCATTCATACGCTACTTATTACCTTACTCATCTTTTAAATGCACTTCGAACGGACACAGAGCCGATGACGATTGTATCTTTCTTCCCGTTTATAGATGGCGATCAACTGGAATGCGTCAGAATGGTTGGGAAATGCGAATGAACATCGATTGGGTGCGATTCATGAAAATCAAGTCGCGTGACTGGATGTGAACACAGATTTAGTCGATCAGGTTTGTGCATGTATAGTACTCGTGGAATGGGATTTCCCATTTCGCGATCAGTCGCTTAGCTAGGAAATACCTACGGCCCTCCAAAATTCATTGCAAACGGAAAGTTTCGTTTACATGATCATAATGCTTTTTGTCCAATGAAGGAGCAGTATTTTCGAGTCAGTTTGTTCATAACGCTTTTCGATTTGACGTATGTTTTACAAACATGAAGTGATTTCAAACAGATTCCGTTCATCAGATTACTTTCACACATTTACAAATTAAACTGTCATTTGAATCCAACCATGGTGAAACATGGCAAGCAAACAATGACTTTTAAATGAGGCCATTGATCAGATCGATCACATGATCCTAAGGTCATACATTCCAATCTGAGATGTTTGAACCAATCATAGCAATGCATGTGGATAGACCGACAGCGTGGTGTTCGCAAACAACTATGCTCCAACCTCCAACAACTGTATATGTGTGTATTCGGCTAATCGGCCTCGGAATCTGCACAGATGACGTCGAAAGAGTCGACAAAAGTGGTTGTGTTTGCCGCATCTGTTCGACCGAATCGTATGAATGCGCGCGTGATTCGGTTAGTGCAGAAACGTTTACAAGTGCAAGGCTATGCGACAGAATTGGTCGGTAAGTTCGAGAGGGTATTCCTGGAAAGATGGAGCACAAATGATGACCTCATTCACTGAATTCTGAAACCTTATTTTCCATCGTTCAGCAGGCAATTTTGAAATTTAAGTATCTGAATAGGTTGCACGGATGAAGTATTCTTTTTGTTGAAAGGGATGCAAGCCGAAAAAACTGTATCAAAGATGCAAGTTCGGAAGACATGATGGATCAAATGGTATTAAAAATGACATTTTAACCAGATATGGCAGCACTGACACTTTGACTGAATTGAGAGAGAATAAAAAATCATTAGTTTGTCGGTGAAAATCGACCGAACTTACATTTTATCTCGAACGATGGTCTTATTTTCCATACTATCTGAAAAACTTTACAAAACCTTTTTTTAAACAATGAGTAACTATTTCCACGGAATACGTGCAAATATCAAAAGTGAAAGATAGGGGATAAAAAAGAGTTGAGACATGTTTTCTTTTATTTAAACTACCACTTTCATTGCTAGTTGCTTGTGCTAGTACTGTTTTCTCCAAGTGGTATTCAACTGGTTAATTACTAATCAAGAGGATAGGGCCATCGAAATTGCCTGATAGTCACTCATCAATATCTGTTTCCCTACATGGTTTGGGAAGGGACGTAACTTTGGGTGGAGTTCTATGACTATTTGTTTCCCGATTACAAGTAACCAGTAGACTCTAAGGGTATGTAGGGAGGAGGTGGTAGAACCTATATAATAATATTAATAATAATAGTAATATTAATAAAACAATAATGTGTTATTTTCTTTTGATTGATTGAATATACGTTCTGCATGCAGATGATAGAGGATTTGGTTTGACCAAATGTTGGATTTCGTCGTGTAAAGATTGAATGAAAAGTAGTTTAGAATTGTTTGGTTCTCATCAGCAGTGCAAATACATCGACCAAACTGGGGATCGAACCAGGGATCTCATGGGTAAATCGTGTATGAGGAAACTGAAAATCGGTCCAATCAGCTGTTCGCTGCTCCAGTGGGTTATACGCTTACGTTCAATCTGTAGGATATCAGGTTTATTCTTCAGTTTCTGCCAATGTGTTCTCACTAATAACGAGGCCCAACCAAGTCGAAACCTCTTTCTAGTGCCTCCTAACTTTTCACCTCCCGCTTTTTTTGCTTTTTACACTACGGATGGGATCACTTGAATATGGATTTCCACGCTCCATTTTAAGAGTAAGATGCTGCCAAAAACAGCTTATGAGAATCCATAACTGGAACAGGTGAAAGACGATGGCGGGTCCGTGACACGCGAACTGGGCGGAGGGTCATTCTGCGATTGTTAGATGTCGAGTGCTTCAATGGTTTTTGAAAGGATGAAAAAAATCTTTACTAAAGTTTACGTCAATCCTCGATCTGGGCAAATAAATAAAAAGTATTCACATAAGTATTCACAGTGGGTGATGGCCCAGTAGTAACGTCACCAAATTATCACCCCAGGGATGTGCGTTCGAAGCCCACCACCACCGCCTAACTTTCCACGTTGTGTGATTAGTGGCAATCCTTTGACTGGCCGCTTTCCCTTTCCTGAAAATCGTATCTTTGCATACATTCAATAAAAGGAAGTAAAAATGAAAAAGAAAAAAGAAGCTTATCAGAAAACAAACAATTCTGCTTGTGATCGAAAGTTTAAAACCCCGGTTTCAAAGATTCTTAAATGAAGAAACACAACTGCATTGTCGCGGTCTACGTTATGAATCTTTCGCGTGAAAAAATCGGTATCAAGAAGTGATCATGGGGAAAGAATCGATCTTTAAGACTGTACGCGCTTGTCGCTTATATAATTCTCACAAAAGTCGTGTCATGACATGTACCTTTAAGACTTTGCACCCAATTCAAAGTCTTAGCTAAGTTTATCAGTCTTTAAAGTAATTCGAACTCAATAAATGATTTGGGTGCTAACTGGGATTTCCATATAAGAAACTTACTATAAGACCAAATCCGTTCGGTAGGGAGTGTATTGCGAATATGTATACATGTTGAACTGGAAGAAATAAACTGCAAGGTTGCTGTTGTTATTATCCTATGTGGATTGTATCACACGTACGCTTGTTTAGATACGTATTTCTTAGGAACGGTGAATCCCTGCAATCAAATTTTTCGCTTACATTGATCGAAGTCTGAATGAACTTTCATCTAACCTTTTCATCTCTATGGTTCTCCTCTCCTCCCTCCTTCCTCTTCCTTTTTTCAAACGCATACACACACACACACACACACACACACGCTCTACCTTTCTCTTGTGCCTCCATATGTGCAAGCAGACCCGAGAGAGCTGCAGTTGCCCATTTTGGACAAGGCCATCTCAGAGTACGCGGACGCGGGAGCCATACCAGCCCCACTCAAACAAATAAACCAACAGGTACAAATGGCAGATCTATTGTTGTTCACCACGTGCGAATATAATCGTTGTATTCCGCCCGGATTGTCCAACCTGTTGGACTATTTACCCCACAAGACTATGGCATACAAACCAGCTGGTGTGATCGCATATACCACAGGTAAGACTGCTAGTACGTCCGCTTTGTCCGAGGCTTCAGTTCCATGCTATACCTTAAGGTGTTGCTTAGCTTTGGAATCACTGAGTGATTGGAATATAAATGGTATTGGATATGCGAAAGGGACGTCTATGTCCATTACTTTATTTTAAACAGTTTGAATGACCTAAAAGTTGGGCAAATGATGCTTTTCTGATTAATTTATTATGAATANTGAATAGGATTTGAGTTCTCTGAACCAAAGTCCCCGTGTGTAAAAGTTACTTCGTCAGGTGGATTTGAAGTCGTGCTACTACCCGATCCCGAAATTATTTGATCATGGTTATATTACGGCAACATGACTTTGAGGTGAATAGACCAGGTGATTCAGTTGTTTTCGCAATGGAAAGCACGACACAATCAAATATCCTGAAAATAGCAATGCGTTTCTGTTCAGCTGGTGACGTTTTACGAAAATAGGAGATCCATGTGGATCGAAAATCTACACACATTTTTTCAGAGGTCCAGAGGTAATGGACAGAGTTGAATTGAAGAATATATCCAACCCTTGGTTTGAACTAATGTCTAATGATGTGGAACTAATCACTTACACCGTTGCTGTTCATTTACAACCCATGCCCTCATCATAGTGAACGAAGCCGCGATGCTCAAGCGGTATCGGTTACCGTCACCCTACCTCTGAGGTCGAGCATTTGAATCTCGTCATTGTTTGTTAACCTGTAATGATTGTATTGACAGTACGCACGGAATTCGGAACACCAACCATGCAATATGAATTACAGAACTCGAATCAATAATAAACTATCACGGACCGGATCGCAGAACCACTGGACCATAATGGCACGGATTCGCAATGTCCCACGAGAACGAGACGCGAGGAAAAGGCCACAGGACAGGCAGTATGTAGTTCGTTTATTGGAAGAAATGAAGGTGATTAAATAATATGTACAAAGGGAGATTATTGGCTATCTGGGCTTCCACCAATTGGATTGCAGTACTGCTTGCATAATTTTGCTTCTGTCTGCATTGTCTTAGATTGGCTGGCACCATCCGCCAATGACGTGTATTCAGAAGCCATGCACGTGTCATTGATGTCAGCATTCAAACTTGATTGATCGAAAATGTCGTGAAACTGTAACGTGCCGCTCCAGGGTAGGTGCCATCGTGTATGCCTGGATCACCACAATTCTCCCTCAAGAGAGCTTCGTCAAATTGGCTTGCTCGTCTAATTGGTCGTCGCAGTTCTAGTGGGGTATTCTCGTCGTTAAAAATTCCCGGAATAGGGGGCTGTTGCCTTTGATCTTCAGTAGGTGTTAACGGCGTATCACAGGGCAGGATTTCTTGGGTTTCTTCGGCAAGGTCTTCAGTCGAAGTCGGAGTTTCGTTGAAGTGGATTTGGTCGATGTTGCGTCGATGAACCGTAGCATCTGTCAAATCAGTGATCTCGACCATAGCTTGATCAATCTTGCGGGTAATGATTCCTTTTGATGGTCGCAAGTCGTTTCCTCGGAAGTATACGACATCACTGGAATCCACGCATCGCAGTGAGGAACGTAAGCTTCTGGCTTTGAACTGCTTCGCTGGGCTCTCTTTGATGGTAGCATTTGTGGCATTCAGGTATTGCAATAGGAAGTTGTCTAGGAGTATCTCCAGCTCTACAATTGTCCTTGGATTTGCAGAGGAAATGGCACTCTTCACTGTTTTCACCAAATTTTCTGTTGCGCCGTTCGAGTAGGGGTGACGTGGTGCTGTGCGTAGATGTCGGCATCCAATACTGTCCAGCCACGTTTTAAACTCCGCAGCGCAGAATTGCGACCCACTGTCAGTCATCAACACTTGAGGAACACCCTCTCGATTGAAACACTTTCGTAGTACCCGCATCACAAAGGATGTAGTTGGTGTGCTGGTTAGAAACACTTCAGGCCTTTTGATTATGAATCGATAAGTAATAGTGCGTGATAATGGCCGATAAATGGTCCACAGAAGTCAGCGTGCACACGTTGCCACGGAATACAGCTTTCTGGCCATGGAACCCAATTCCTCGGTTTTGACTTCTGCTTTTGTAGGCATGCTTCACAGTTCTTAGCAGTTCGACCAATGTCTTCATCTAGACCGGGCCACCAACACATATGTCCTGCCAACGACTTCATCTTCTCCACCCCTAAGTGGCCTTTGTGCAGGTCTTCTAGTAATGCCTTGCGTAAAGGAGGTGGGATGATCAGTCGATCGTTGCGGCATAGTATTCCGTCAGGTTA